GCCTCATTGAGGCTATTGATTTATTATACAACTTTTTGGTATATAATATAAAATTCTGTTGACTCTCAGACTTGATTTTTTCCTCCCCCTTGGGCCTGACATGGCCTAGTGGTTAACATACCTGAACTGTGAAGCCGAGTATAAATGGTTCGTGCTTCCGCTATAAGGGTGAAGGTCAAATCCCACTATTCCTTTGACAAGAGTAGCCAAAGAGTCTACCAGTTGAACGTTGGGGACCACTATGCGCAGATAGCCAGCCCTTGTGTAGATTTTCATGAAAATTCTAAAACAAACATTCGACACTATAAACTACAAACAGTATTTCACTGAGTTTCTTACCGATGCAGCTAACAATCAACACAACCCAATGAATCATTTTTCTGAAAACACGTTGTTTTGTATCCCGATGTCCTTCTTTCCCACCAGCAGTGAACATTTCTTTAAAATACTCTGACAAGTTCACTTGTGTAAATCAAATCCCACCACTACCAGTGAACATTTCTTTAAAATGCTCTGACAAGTCCACTTGTGTAAACCAAATCCCACCACTACCAGTGAACATTTCTTTAAAATACTCTGACAAGTTCACTTGTGTAAATCAAATCCCACACTACCAGTGAATATTTCTTCAAAATGCTCTGACAATTGTGCAATGCGCTTACCTTGTGTTGCAATACAGACTTGTGAAACGTAGTTTTAATGAAGCACAAGTTCATGTTGCACTAATTTTCCGTTACACCAGATTAAAGCATAGCTCATATGTACTTTCATGCATATATAATGTGTGTGTGTTAAGTAATAGTTTTATTCGTGGTACGATTGAGTTATTAGAAATGTGTGTTATGGTTTTCAAGTTATGTAGCCACCTCCATTGACGTTGCGAGTTATTATAAGCACTATTCTTAGTTTTGTGACGCGCAACAATTCAAGTCATGGTACATTTACGAAACCACAAACTGCCATACTTGTGTGATGTAAGACCCCCAAGCCCACATCAGTAATCTCTTTCTGCTTGCCTAAGTTGTTAGTTCCACATCCTTCCCTACCAGTTTAATTAGAACTTATTGATTTACTTAGATACACGTTGGTGCCTTGGACTACACGTGGACTTGTTTCGTCGTTGGATGGTGGCATCATACAAGCTACGCTTGAACGTGTTCCCTATAATTTCGCATCTCTCCACTTACTCTAAGTACGTAGGTCCGTGAACACCACTGAAAAGAATACTTGTTAAAACATCAATAGCAAGAATACATGTGTCCTATTTTACAAAAGGTTTCTTTTTACAGTTTTGCACACATTTTGAGGGAAACGGGAAGAGCAATGAATAGAAAATTGTACAAAGCAAAAATTACCTCTGTGTTGATTTTACAGCATAAAACTTAACACTATGACGCTGGTATTATCATGATTCTAACTCCTGTAGAGAGTAGTGATAGTAAATTGACAAACATCGATTTATGAGCATAATGATAAATATTTTATCTAGAGCACATACTACACATATCTACAGAACATTGGTCTTTCTTCAGGTACCACTGTTCTGTTGAAACATGATTCTAACTCCTGTAGAGGGGAGTGATAGTAAATTGACAAACATCGATCAATAAGCATAATGATAAATATTTTATCTAGAGCACATACTACATATATCAACAGAACATTGGTCTTGCTTCAGGTACCACTGTTCTGTTGAAACATGATTCTAACTCCTGTAGAGGGGAGTGATAGTAAATTGACAAACATCGATTTATAAGCATAATGATAAATATTTCATCTAGAGCACATACTACATATATCAACAGAACATTGGTCTTTCTTCAGGTACCACTGTTCTGTTGAAACATGATTCTAACTCCTGTAGAGGGGAGTGATAGTAAATTGACAAACATCGATTTATAAGCATAATGATAAATATTTTATCACATACTACATATATCAACAGAACATTGGTCTTTCTTCAGGTACCACTGTTCTGTTGAAACATGTAGCATGTTCTCTACATAAAATATTTATCATTGTGCTTATAAATCGTTGTTTGTCAGTTTACTATTGTATTAGCATAATGTACTTCGGTACACAAGTATAGTATGCATCTTGTTTTCCAAAGAGTTCAGCCAGAAGGTTTTGTTACTGTAGTGAGTGAGGTTAAGGGTTTGCCGTAAGTGCAAATTAATAGTTCACGAAATGGTAAACTTCTGTTTCAAGGAAAACCTTCTGCAGGAAGGCTGAAACAAATTAAACGTTTCGTTATAGATTAAACGTTACGTTATGTTAGCAAGACTACGTGATTAATTTTATATGGAAATAACTGCACATAAATGACGCGTTTTTATTTTTATAAACAGTGGCTACATTATAGAAATGTTACGAGAATTCGAAATGCGCAGCCTATGGTTTTACAACTGATTTTGTTAAGATTATCGAACAGTTGCGTTGTTGGCTACTGATAGTATGCCTGCTCGACATTAAACAACTTTTCAAGTGTATGGATTACGTAAAGACTTCGCTGTGATTTCGAAATTAAAATACGTTATTGTTAGAGGCAGTTTGATCCGTCTTAGCGTGCAGAAAATGCCGAATCAAATTTTCTAAAGTCATAATTCAGACATTAACTGTCTGGTAATCAATACGACAATATATTGAAATTAGCCAGATTTACATTCATTACGTTTAGAGAGAATCTTGTTAAATAACCAAAAGTATTGAATTACGAACGTTATCCGTGTATATGTATATTATTATAAGTTAGAGGCGAGTTTGGGTTCAACACATACAGGAAGGGATAATTCGTAATTTTTTCTAGGACTTTCCCAAGTGCTGGAACCTTTTCCCCATGTATAATATTCTGTCATTCTATTGTAAAATCATTCTACAAGGCACATCATAAAGTATAATTCATGCTAGACTATAAAGAATGAATGACATTTCTCTCAGTGCGATCGATGGACGCCTTCACAGAGAAATACTGATGCCCGTTAAACCGGGCACCTTTTATTTTAATGGGAATGGAGGCGCTAATTGCAATGTCTTAGTAATCTTGAACAATTCTATATAAACAGTCTATCCCTCATCGTGGATTTTGTTCCGCAGATCCCTCGGAAACCCTAGCAGAAACCCCGATTTCAGTTCTTCATTCCGTTTCAAAATGGAGTCACATAGGAAAGAGTTTGGGAAGTGTTGGTGTATTACTTTGGATTCCTTTTTTTTCCGTTTCCAAATGGAGTCACACAGGTAAAAAAAGTTTGGAAAGCGCTAATTTATTTTGCCTCGATTCCAGTTCTTTATTCCGCCAGGGTTATACGTTCTACACTGTAAGTTCTATATTTTATTATCAGGGGACGTGATGTGTATGTAAATATGAAAATTTTGTATGTAATATTACCATGGTACAAACATATGTTAAAATACCACTGTAAGGTTTTACATGTCTAACTTGTGTACGGACAGTTGCACCAATATATTTCTTTACATCTTAACACGTGTTCGCTGCCGAATAACAATTAAATATAAAATAATTCAACGTTCAAGAGGTGCCAAGGAGCAGTCACAGTGTCCCAAACTCATATGCCAAATTTGGCTTTGAAACATTGACAACGTTTAGCCGAGAGTAGGGAAACTATTGACAACGTTTAGCCGAGAGTAGGGAAACTATTGACAACGCTTAGCCGAGAGTAGGGAAACTCCATTGACAACGTTTAGCCGAGAGTAGGGAAACTCCATTGACAACGTTTAGCCGAGAGTAGGGAAACTCCATTGACAACGTTTAGCCGAGAGTAGGGAAACTCCATTGACAACGTTTAGCCGAGAGTAGGGAAACTATTGACAACGTTTAGCCGAGAGTAGGGAAACTATTGACAACGTTTAGCCGAGAGTAGGGAAACTATTGACAACGTTTAGCCGAGAGTAGGGAAACTCCATTGACAACGTTTAGCCGAGAGTAGGGAAACTCTATTGACAACGTTTAGCCGAGAGTAGGGAAACCGTTGCAAGTGATTCGTTGTATACGTATCTCCATGATATGACGTAACGAAACAACTTGTCTTGCTGTGGTACTATCATTTCACTCAACCAAATATGATGTAGTTGTTCACACAACAACCTAAAGCAAATGTCAGTCTTTACAATATTTTTATTTATCCGTAATTTATTGTATCTCGTAATTTATTAAATATCGCTGCTTTACCTTGTAGGAACTCAAAAGCCCTGTTTTACTCGAATTATTCAAGCTGACTTATTTTCTAGCTCCGTCAGAAAATACCTACTGTTTGAGTTCTGTATCGGAGGCGACCATCAGTATGGCAGGCCTTTAGGGAACAACCACCTATCTAATCCATTTTCTCCACTCAAGTGATCTCTTCAGTTCTAATTGTATAGACTTCTATCTCCTGCCGCCGGGGGGCGCCTAGTAATGGGATCGTGTTCCTAGCACACCGTCACGTGCAGTCGTGTCTCCCAGCAACAAGTAATTGGATGAAGCGTGGATACTGTCCAGGGGCGATAAAATGTGCCGCTGTGTAAAAACCTACAGTGACTTTAATTCAGTTAAATAATTACAAGGCTGAACGTTGTATTGTGTACGGTATTAATAATTAAAGAAAGGCTGGTTATATTTACAAAGGAGAAAGTATTTAATTAACATAGAAATTATAACAACAAAATTCACTTGGTCAGCCAGTGGTCAGATAAATTATTCGAAGTGTATTAAGTTTTGCTGTGATACATAAACATGATGTTTTGAAAGTATCGATTGTTAAGAAGCCTTGAACCTTTGTGGAGTTTGGAGAATATAAATTTTGTTTTGGACAGTTTAGCTTCGGTATGAAAAAGTTTGAAAATTTTCACTTTATAAATGTCTGAAAAAAATGATCTGTTAAAATATCAAAAACAAAAACGGGCGATTCCTTTGTAATCACAGGTCTTTAAGATTTCCTGAAAGTTTGTTCTTAAGTTACTTTTTCTCAGAGTTGTAATCGTAATTATTTGTTTTTCTATCTTAGAGGCCCAACTGAAGATCAACAGTCATGAGGAAACGGGAAAGACGTTGGATAGGAAGATTCCCTTGGCACTGTTGTTGGTTGCTTCTGATACTGTGGACATCAGCATCAGTGGGACAAGCAGGATTTGTAAATATCAGTTACCCAGTCTTTGACAATCAGAATTTTTCTGGTGAAAAATTCGAACACCTGGTCGTCAATACTTACACTGGATTTGTTTACGTAGGTGGAGTCAACATGATCTACCAATTGACTCCCAAGCTAATCTTGAAAAACACGGCCGTCATGGGGCCGAAGGAGGATAGCCCTAACTGTCCCGTGACCCGAGTGTGTTCTCAAGTGGAAAAGAAGCCCACGGACTACCACAACAAAGCCCTTGTTATTGACTATGAACAAAGTAGGTTATTAGCTTGTGGAAGCCTTTTTCAAGGAGTATGCACAGAACATCACTTAGAGAACGTTACAAACTACGAGACTCCAGCCAATGAGTCGGTGGTAGCAAACAACGGTACAGCATCGACTGTAGTCTTCATTGCTAAGGGACCGACAAAAACTTTCCGTAGAACGACCAATGTTCTCTATGTCGGTGTGACCTACACTGGAAATGGACCTTACCGATCAGATGTACCAATGGTCAGTAGTCGTAGTTTGGACACGGAAACAATGTTCTCCATCGCCGAATCAAAAGTGACTACCGGGACTAAAGTGTCTGTAAACAGTCTTGCTAGATCTATCTACCCTATCACCTATATATACGGGTTTGAAAATAAGGGTTTTTCGTACTTTGTAACCGTACAAAAGAAGTACACAGACAGGCCATACCCGTTCCTATCCAAACTTGTTCGAATCTGTCAGAACGACCCACACTACTACTCGTACACCGAAATCCCACTGGTCTGCCGCTCAAACGATGCCACAGATTATAATCTCGCCCAAGCTGCCTTCGTAGGCCAACCAGGCTCTGACTTAGCCGTTTCGTTAGGAATCACCGCCCAGGATAAGGTGCTCTTCGTAGTTTTTTCCAAATCCAAAGACGAAGCAGACATTTATAACAAACCCTCCATGAACTCGGCTCTATGTGTGTATGCTTTATCTGCTGTCCACCGTAAGTTCATCCAGAATATCCAGAACTGTTTCAATGGTAAAGGAGATAGAGGACTAGACTTTATTAACCCTAGTCAACCGTGCCAACACACTGTAAGTCGTTATTTCTTACATTAAGAATTTGGACTTCGTTAACCCTAGTCATCTTGCGAAGTTGTTATTTTTACATAATTATTTATGCCTAAAATACCGCTAACAAAGAGAGTACACATTTAGTGAATCAGTGCATTCTAGTTGTTTAAAAGACACGGTTAGCGGTAACAACTTGTTGATAAACAATGATTGATATGTGGACCTCCTGCTGTTGAAACTGGTAAGTGATAACATTTCAACCCGATGAAGATTCACGTTAGTATATCGAAACGCCGTCGTCACTTGCCCTTTTTCAACAGCAGGAGGTCTACATATAAATATTGTTTGTCGGTCTACATATAAACATTGTTTGCCGGTCTACATATAAACATTGTTTGCCAACAATGCGTTCTTATCATTATATACACAAGTTCGTTATATTACATATGCATGTAGCTTGATTTGATCAGAGGTTAAATAATTCTCGTCAACCATGGCACCACCTGGGTCGTTATTTCTACATAATAATTTAAAGATAGTCAAAACTCATGAACAGTAAAGTTCTTTTGTTGTTGTTGTTGTTGTAATGATAATTGTGTAAATGGTATTTCTCATATACATAAATCCTCGTACCACCAAACATGCTCGCCCTTTCAGCCGTGGGGGCGTTATAATGTTACGGTCAATCCCACTATTCGTCGGTAAAAGAGTAGCTCAAGAGTTGACTGTGTTGATGACCAGCTGCCTTCCCTCTAGTCTCTCACTGCTAAATTAGGGAATGGTAGCGCAGATATCCCTCGTGTATCTTTGCGCGAACTTCAAAACAAACAAACTCATATACAAGATGATGAAACAAAAGTTAGTTACACCAATTCGGCTTCTGTACTTCATCAATATGGTAGTAGTTTTGTGAATTCAGCTCTCATTATCGCATCACAGAAAGCTAAATGCTTATTCTCAGCAAGTGTGTTTAATATAATTATAAGATAAAAATTTATATTTGCTTCATTTTTTTTATGACGTTTGGTGTACATTTTTGGATTAAAAATGTAGTAGAGCATCTTATGTGACAAAAAATTTAAATATTTTTTAGAACAATATACAAGAGGTGTTTTTCAGTCACATTTCTATGTTTGTATTTCGGATATATTTATACTGAATGTGTATATTTATACTGACCATATTTATTTTTTTCCTATATGTGCATCTAACTTTGGTCAGTATTTATTAATTTAGTATTCGTCCATATTCGTTTTCAAGTAGGTTAAGTTTTTTTTTAATAGGTTCAAGCACATTCGCATTGGTCACTTAGGCTGGGTAAAAAAACAACAACAAAAAACAAACAAAAATACTCAGTACTTTGAGGATTGTAGTACATCTTGATCAGGTTACCCAATATTACATATTAGCCACAACTAGGTCTGTCGTATCCCAAACAGCCTAATGTGATCTGATATTAGACGAAAGGCCTCGTCTGTTATCTATTACATATTTGTTTTCACTGATAAATTCTTAGAATAACGATTTAGTCAGTTGAATTTTTTTGACGTGTTACCCATGTATTAATAAACAAGTCAATAGATTTTGACGAGAATGCCAAGAATACCGAATTATTCATCATAATTCAACATGTTAACCAACAATGACGAATTAATTAACGGTAACGAGCTAGTCACCAGAATTCGACGTATTAGACAACAGTAACGAACTAGAAACCGGAATTCGACGTATTAGACAACAGTAACGAACTAGTAACCAGAATTCGACGCATTAGCCAACTATAACGAACTAGTAACCAGAATTCGACTTGTTAGACAACAGTAACGAACTAGTAACCAGAATTCGACGTATTAGCCAACTATAACGAACTAGTTAGCCAACAGGAAACAGTGAAAAGGAGTACTAATTTTCATCGTTATTACGACTTAACTTAATCTGACAGTAAATCTTACATATCAGAGGCAGAATTTCATGTTTTTGTATGGTGGGCAATTTTTAGTGGAGTTACAGTAGCTGCTACAGTATCGATTAACTCTGGGCTATTTAAATATCTTATTTTGTCGAATAATTTGTTCTTCAACCATGTCCTGTCTAAAGTTTTTTTTTTATAACTTGTATTTTTGTACGTTGATATTCTCAATTTTACTACAGTGACGTAAATGATCTTGTACAGGAAGTAAAAGTTCACGTGAGCATTTTGATGAGCTGTATCAATTTTATCGACATTTTTTATTTATCACAAGCTGTATGATGACGTATTCAGCAACACTTAAAATGATGAAGTATGTCTTACGAAAGAAAACATTTAAGACTTAAAACGTTGTTGTTAGTTGATTACAAACTAATTGTATAACTATGGAAAATAGCATTGTGCTTTATGCTTTAATGTTTCAGTTTGTTGATGATGCTTGGACTTTAAGTCAGGTCTACATAATATTTTCAAAGGAACTTGGAATGTTTCGTATTACAAGTTCACCGCCGTAATGTATAGATTTGCGTGAAGGCTACATTTTGTTTTAAGCTTTCAACAGGCTTAACATGGAATAGGTTTTAAAGGATTTCATTACAGCCCAGTCGTGTATAATCTCTCTTCTCCCAATATTTGAAGAAGGTTTACCAGAATATCCGATTGGTTGAAAGAAGATTATGTACCTCTTATTTAGTGATGACGTCACCCTTATGCAGTCTCGTGCTGAACTTAAAGCAGACTTACGGAATGTGCAACATGTTAATACTTTAAACACTTTAGCCTTAGAGAATGCAAGTACCAAACCAGAGTTACCAATTTTATTATTAAAGCTGTATTGCCGTCTTTTCGCCAGAAGGTTACATGACAACATAATACCATGAAGTAAGAAATGAAACAAACCGAAGATATTTGTAAAGTGGCAAGGAAACATAGATACAAATTGTTTTAACTGAATGCATCCTCCCGGGGTTCGATTTCTTAGCCATAGGATAGCGAAGAACAATAACCGAGCTTATGGTTTTATCTTACTCTACCTCTAATAATTAATAAGGCACGTTTTGATCAATCGAACTATAAGGCTGCACCACTTTGTGCGGACGTTGGAAAATTATACGTATAAGGAATAACACATCTCAATAATAATAGAAGGAGCACTGCACGAGGAAAATCTGTCGTAAAATAAGACCTGGTTATAGATGGTTAAAAGTTTGTAAAACATAATACTGGTCGATACGTGTATTAGGATGTAAATCAAATATTTACTGGTGGTAAAGTGATCAGTTTAAATAAAGTAAATGTCTGAGAATATGATAAAACTAACGATAATAATCTCTCACATGTGGCTTGCTCTACATTAATCGGGCGAATAGTGAAACCACCTTAAATGCATTGAGCGTGATGATTAAACTCAAACTTTTAATGATGTAAAAGATGGTAGCGAAGCATCATAGTTGCATGTTTGTGAGCTAGATCTGTTGTTTACGCTCAGCAGAAGACGAGCAGCTGTTGATCAATTAAAATGCAGCCGAAATGAAAGGATATTGGAGGACATTTTGTAGCTAATGGCAGAATGATTTTGTCATTATTAGAAATAGTGACGGAACACTTTCACAAGGACGATTAACTGTTTACAAGACCTGTATTACTTAGTTTCCAACAACCTGATATATTTAAAGGATTACGTGCCTTTATGTTATTCGGTTTCAGTAAAAGGACACACAGGTAAGCTATCTTCGCCATAACGTGAGCTTTGGAGAATTTATGTTATCTGGTCTTTGAGTGACCGGTAAGCGGAAACAAAGGAAAAGGTCGATTACGATGTGTAGAAAGAATGACGTGACGGAAAAGAGGTAGATCAAACTTTCGATAGCATTGCATTGATGTTTTAGAAGTATAGATGAGCTTCCAAGTAACACTGCTAACTTGAAAAAAGAAAGGTACTTATTTACATGTGACACGTGGATAAGTCACATGTACATGAAGTGAGGCTGAGCTATTTCAGTATCACGGACGGTCATCTCAATTATGACTTGTACAACATTGTACTTATTATAACTATAGACAGTTTTTGTCTATCCTGAAAATGCGTGCGCACATACTATCTTAATGCGCATGTGCGTGTACTTCATTTCAACGGATGTGAATATACTTTAGTATACATTTTGTACAACAACATCTTAAAAGCTTATCAAAGTTTTTTTAAAAAGGTATAACGTTAGGTCGTCAATAACACCGTAAGTTTATTTAGTGATAGTATTAAGTACGGTAAAGTTTAGCCCTAACTAAACTAAAACCAAAAAAATTTAGTTAAGCCTTTAATATGTAAGGCTTGTACTTGTATCGAATACAGAGGCGTCTCCAGGCCCTGGCATACGGGGACTCGTACACCGATTCTATTTGACAGTGCCCCAAATCCCCAGCTGGTGTCTTGAAAAATCATAATAGAAAACCATGATCGAAGTCGTGCTGAAACACCGAAAATTCCTGCGCCTATAAGCCCTAACACCGAATCTTTTTAAGTACTTAGCGACGTCACTGGTCGAATATAGGCATAATTAATGTTAGGCCTAAGATAAGTAGACTTTATAGTTTTCGGTTTTGCTATTAGGATTCTTTTTATTATTATTCTAAAAATTCTGTTGCAATGAAAATACCAATTTGACCACATATGTTTTGCTGGGTATGCATAGAACCCTTGAGATTCTTCTGCTAGCTCTGCACCTAGGTGGAACTGGTCGAGACTTGGCCGATATCCTCTATTGCTGGATAGTTCTTCTTTAACTTGGATGAAAGCTATTTTATACAGATGCTGAAAAGCATCATCCTTTCTAGTTGCATCAATCAGAAATCTGCTAAAGGTTGATGACTGCTCTGTTTTTCTACCCGAATATCAGTTCAACGACCCAATAAACGATAAGATAGATACAGTCTAAACTGGTGACAAATAAAAAAAGATTCGACATTCCTAAGATACGGGTAACTGGAGATCAAGAGTGGGCTTGAAATGTAACCAAAGTCTGGAGGTATATTAAAATTTTCATTACTTTGCATT